TCCACAGGCCATGAATTCCAGAGCCTAGCCGTTCTATGGATGAAGGAGTTTTGATAAAGTGCTGTTCGACATCTTTCGAGGTTGGCAACGAAAGGATGTGCTGACTGGACTTGTCTAGTTCGTCTGATTGGTATTGCTAGTGAAGGGATGATAGCAGAGATTTCCGAAGAACATTTCTCGTGGAAGTATCGATAGAAAAGTGAAAGGTCGCCGACCTTTCTACGATGTTCCAATGATGTCAAAGAGTGAGTGAGTGTGGCGTCACCCACCAGGCGAATGGCTCTTCTCTTGATGGAATCTAAGAGCATCAGCGTATGTTTTGGTGCTGAACCCCATATGTGGGAACAGTATTCTAGAACAGGCCGTATCTGCGCTTTGTAGATCATGAGAAGCTGTTGAGGTGTACATAATATTATTGATCCCTACTTTTTCGACGGCAATTCAGATGGCCATATGTATCTAGATTTCTTGCGAAACCAATTGCCAAACTTGAGTGACAATCTACCGATAGCTGTGAGGAATGCAATCTGGCTAAGGGGGGCCGAGTAAGTGGCCGCTCAGATCACCGGAATGAACCAAATTGGATTTCTTTTTGTAGGGCTATGTTGATGATAACGTTCATCAGGAACCTCCTATCACACCAGAAAATATGCTGCAAAGAATCCTTCACGCATTTCGAACCATACCCCAGCTATCACGAATAGTTACAAGGTTATTCCATAATCGTTTTCGCTTGTACCTTCAGTAGAACGGAAGACATATCGAACATACATTCTGATATTCAGGTAATACCGAGGGTAATACTCCTATTCGTTTGCTTTTGAAGAGTTCATTACAAGAACAACTGTGATTTTCTACACTTTCTTGATGTGTATAGAATTCAGAAGAAGAGTTCTATCGAACTTCTGATATCTTGTATCAAGAAATTGTTTACCAAATCAATCTTCGTTTTTTATTCTCCCAAATGTCTTGTTCAGGGAACGAGTTTTTGACGAGATATAATGAGGATTTCGATAGGGTTATACATCGAATTCCATGAGAATATACAGCCGTTTCAATTCGAAATCGAAAAAATATAGTGATTTGAAATTTGAAAAATTCGCCATTGAATTTGGAACACCCTGTGCTGATTCGTGTCAATAAAATTCGGTGAGCGATCCTCTTCATTGACCAGGCTCTCTTTCCTTTGTTTGACCAGTGGTGCCAAATTGAATTTTTCTGTTATATTTTTTTTACGTGAATATCACTGAACCGATTCCAATCAGATTTCAGAAGTATGTAGGTTATCACTGGAAGCACTTAAATGTGATATATGGCATGCCATCGTTCTAAAATTTAAAAAATATATCATTATGACGTCACACTTTTTTGGGACACTCTGTACAATAGAAATTATTTTCCTGGTATGGGCCCTATCAGACAATTGAAGTCCGTGAAATATAAAAATCCTGACCCGACTGATTATTGAGCTATAGAAGACAAGAGGGGAGATGCAGGAACCTGTATATTTTCCTTATAAATGGAGAGGTCGGTATTTTCAATTGAAATACAATTTTGTTCACCTGCCACATGCAATCATTGTATAACCTCTCAAACACTTCGGAATTAAATAGGCGTCCTCAAAGTTCATTATATACGTATAACAGTGAAGAAACGCTCACCTCAAAATTCAGAAATTTGTATATCGAGAATAGTTTTATTCGATATAGTATTGATGATGCGTAGTTTGATATTGAACGATGATATTCAGGAAATACGAGGAACTTTTATAATGATAAGTTTTTGTCAATGCGACAGTTGAATGTTTGGCATTTGAATATCAAGATATGATAATTGATCGTATTATCAAAAAATAATCAGGATAACTTGATTTCAATTCGATTACTGGATGATTAGCTTTTCTGGAACACTTACAATGGGCAAGCCATTGTCCGATTCTACTATTTGCATCTTTTCCTGGAACTTTGTTGAAGTATTGTCACTTATTCATCATTCGTTGTTTTGGTTCTCATATCGTAATCGTTTGATAAGTTGATGAGTCTCTGTATTTTCACTGCATTTCCTGCTGAGGAGATACCTTCTGCTGAATTATCCGATAATAAATGTTCGAAATATTGTTTTTTCTCCTATGATGGAAATATAATCAAAGAAACAAATATCACAACGAAAATCTTGTAGTGAGGATTTCATTATTTTCTAGAACTCTGTTGCTGGAAATGGCCCTTGCAAGTTGAAATAATGACAAGGTCTTTGAAAATCTGGTCTGAATAAATTTGATGATGAACCTGAAATATATTAGTTTCAGGAAAAATCAGACCACCACTTATTCCAGGCACAGGATACTGATTGATTCCTGAAAGAAGATTCATTTCCATTTCAAAAGCACCACAGATCCTTACTTCCATCAAGCTCTAGGAGAATAATCAACTTGTTGAAATATGTTCAGATTCACTCGAATGTTCAGTTCATCTTCGACAACTTTTTCAAAATTTGTAACTCCCAACATTTGATGTTATACATATATTGTAGGCAGAACGAGGCAAAATCCTCTTCCTCACAGACTTGTTTTTTTCGAAGTAGAAAGATATGGGACCTTCACCACCTTGAATATAAATGATGATTTCATAATATTCCAGCTTGAGTACTTTTTTCTATAGTACCGAAAAAAGTTATGAGCGGCCAAACTCGAAAATTTAAGTTAAAAATAAATTCGCGCGTAAATAAGCCTTTGTAACTTCACAATTATAGTACTCATATACGCATAGAACGATTAAGCATATTCTGATGATTCGATTTATATATAATATGCAAAAGAAAGAAGTCTGGGGAAGTCAAGTCGGGTGATCTGGGTGGCCAGGGCACCTGTCCTCCACGATCCACTTTTGCGGGTATCTCGTCAAGGAAATCTCGCACAATTCTAGCAAAATGTGGAGGCGCGCCATCTTGCTGAAACCACATACGGAACCTTATTGTATCGTATGGTAAGTCGTCGAAAAGCCCAGGAAGGTCGCGTTGCAAGAATCGCAAATATCGCTCTCCATTCAACGTTTCTTCAAAGAAATGAGGCCCAATGATCTGCGAATCCACAATGCCGCACCACACGTTCACACTCCAACAATGCTGGTGGTCGATCATCCGCATCAAATGCGGGTTTTCATCGCTCCAATACTGGCAGTTGTGTCTATTACGGAACATTAAGTAATTAATTTCAAATAATCAATTGTGTTCTTTCGTAGCGGTTACGATTATTCCTTTCTGGATTTGTTTTACTTACCGATTTGATATGCCAACATTTTGGATAGATGCTTCATCCGAGAACATTACAAGATAAAAGAATCTCGGATCTCGTTGAAATTTGCGTTGAGCCCAGTTGCAAAGTTCATTCTTGCAACGAAGTCTTCATTTGATAATGACTGATGCAAGGAGATGTGGTACGGGTGATATTTAGCCACTTTTAGTAGCCGTTGGACTGTGGATCGTGGAATGCCAATTTCTCTTCCGATTTCTCGAAGGCTTACATGCGGATTAAGGTGCACTAACGCGAGCACCGTGAGCAGCCTCGCATCCGGATCGACGACGTCGTCAAAAACCGACTTTTTTCTTTTCCGGGTGAGCTGACCTTCGCGGGCACGTTGTACAAGAAACTTGATGGTAACTTGGGACGGACATCTCTGATCCGGAAACCGATGTCGATAATCGCGCTCAGCCTCTTATAATTACCCTCCGCACGTTCGACACACCTAATCATATTCACAATCTCGTTCGGTAAATAATCCGACATCGCGAGACAGTGATAGATTCAAATTGTTTTTACATGGTGTTGCCATACAATGAAAATTATCACTTACCGTGTGAATTTGCAATAAAAATATCATCCCAACGGCGATTGTCTGGGAATTTAACACCCTACACTCTTCCTCGTCTTCAGGGTGTTGAAATGTGTTAATTCGGACTGCTTGATATCTTTTCAATGATAAAAAGTCACCCAACTACAAACTAAATAGTAAAATATTGTTTTTTAAGATCACAGTGCCATCTTGTTAAAATAAAAAGAAGTTCCCGAATGATAGCTTCATAGTTTAAAGTAGTCAATCTCACTTAAAACCAGCTCTAGTCTGACCTAAATGATACCTTAATTGCTGAACCATGCTTATTTCTCTCTTTTCTATGTAGAGGTGTCAAGATAAGTAAGTTCATTTAGCGGTAATTTGTCGTGTGAATATCACCCCAATGGCGTTTGTCTGGGAAAATATCACACCCTACACTCTTCCTCATCTTCAGGGGGTTGAAATGTGTAAATAGTAAAATATTGTTTTTTAAGATCGCCATCTTGTTAAAATAAAAAAGAAGTTCCCGAATGAAAGCTCCGACCTCGATAGCTTCTTCCGTTCAAAAGATAAGGGGGGGAGGACTTTTCACGTCCTCACTGTATATATATATATATATAATACTTATTGGGAGTATTCGTGGAAAGCAGTCAAATGTGACCAATATTAGTTAGCTTCTTTCGTTTTCTGTCGATCTTTCGAAAATGTTTATTCTCTTCTTCAAGACTTTCTAGAAGATCGAATGAAAACTACTGTGAATATATGAATGTACATCAATGAAATGGGTATACTTACTAACATGGAATACTATATAAAATCAGCATAAAAAGAAAACATATGTGTATGAGTTATTGAAATGATATGACAAAAAATTTCATAGATTATGGTTGACTAATTCATATAGAGTTCAATATACAGAGTGAGATGAATACTTGATATAAAATGTGAAATGTATTATGTTATTGAAGATTGTATATAAGTGATCTAACTCCCAAATTAATCAGTCTTTTCAAAAATGAAACAAATATTGAATACGCGAAAATAAATTCGAAAGTAATATTTCACCTTCATACCAAATTGAAAAGTCCTGTACCAGTCAAGAATAGATCCAATATCATTCATGAGATTCCTCGCAATGATTGTGATCTAGTATACGTTGGTCAAACTTGCAGAATGTTTGAGGGCAGAATCACTCCACACAAAAGTGATTGTGAAAGGAATTTAGGATCATATTGTAGCCTGGCTGAACACGTTATGAATGAAAATCATAGAATGAATTATGATGATGCTAGAATTCTGGATTATGAAAAAAATCTGAATGAACGGCTCTCTCCTGAAATGAAAAATATACATAAAAATGAGAAAACCATGAACAAAAAAACAGATAGGTACCAATGATTTGAGTATCATATATGCATTCCTTTGAAGGAAACAAAAAGATAATGAATCAACTCGTCCTCCTTAAATGATCAATATTTTTAATATAATCTACAATAACATATTATATTTCGCATTTTATATTGAGTATTCAGTATATCCAACTTCATACGAATCAGTCAACCATCATCTATGACATTTTTTGTCACATCATTTCATTAATTTATACACATATGTTTTCTTCTTGTGCAGATTTTCTATAGTATTTATTGTTAGTAGGTATACCTTTCTCATTGATGTACATTCATATATTAACATTATCGTTCATTCGAGGTTCAAGAAAGTCTTGATAAAGGAAATAAACATTACTGGAAGCTTGACAAGAAACGAAGAAATCTAAATAATATTGTCACATTCGACTGCAATAATATTATCTATAGAAAAATCACGAAATCTTCCCCTTATCAAATATATTGTTCCTAAATAAATTGTTCTTATCCATCATTCGGTTGCCCCATTACGAGCAACCCTCAGAAGTCTTCAAGAGACTTGTGCGAGAAAGGAATGACGGGGGTTTTACCTTTTAACGTGTGACCCCAAACACTTTCTTAGGCCATAAGAAAAATGTCTGCGGTCGTGGTGGGACTCGAACCCACTACCGGTAATCCAACATGGATAGAACATTGACGCTCTAACCACGAGGCTACGCTGGCTCCATATATGTATATTTACAAGGTGTTTTCGAAATAAGTGCACATATTCACAACATTAACATAATACACTCTAAGGAATATTCCTATGATATCAGATTTTTTTCCAAATCTTTGAATTAACGAGAAATGTAATTCCAGAAATTTCACAAAATACGCGAAAACAATCATGTACGCCAGTTCAAAACAATTTAAATGATTGAACTCTGCGTGATTATGCGTACCGCGTGGAAATTTCAACAGAGGTGACGTCAGATTTGCTACAGTGTAGAACTTTGGGTGTGAAAAGGGGTCCAACCTCAAATTTTATTTTAATCCCTAATTTTTTTTAATTAGTGTCATTCGATAGTACACGTCGAGCTTTCTCAGTGTTTGAAATATTCGCACTTATTTCGATGCCACCTTGTATATAATTGTTTTCTTTTTTCAGATTATTCTCGCCCTAGTAGGATCTGCATTGTGTGCCCCTCAGGGTGTTCAACTAGTGAGGATCAATACCGCAATCGATGACAACTCTGGTCAGTATAAACAGGATAATTCTGGAGCATACAACGGTGATGATGGGCAATACCATCCTGATGGTAGCGGTGCATATCGTGGAGATATCTTGAGACCTTACCAGGGAGTGAACATAGGTAATAATAAAAATCACGAGATCACATAGCACAAAATACTTAGAGCCGTATTCACAACGTTGGAAACACCGAATTGAATTTGATTACTGAGGAACCACACACAACATGGATATTCGAAATATTTGAGGACTTTTTCGATACTATTTGTAATCGAATTCATCTCTTTTATTATCCATCTGATCCTTATTCGAGTTGTGGTGTAAGTGAAATATCAAAGTTATCCACCGTTTGTTGGTTTATCGAGGATATGGAATATTGATAACACTGAATTCCTGAGAAAATTTTTCACATGAATTAGAATATAAGTGATAATGATATATCGAATAGTACTAGTATTCCATCAATAGAAACTAGGACAAATCCTGAGAGTATGGAGATACCAAATTGGATAATACTGAATAATATCGGAAATAATATCGATTCACGATGGAATATGAAACATTGAAGGTTTCGTGAGAAACTTTTGCGATTGTCGAAAACCATTGTTGAAACAATATTCGATTACACATCATTGTGTAGATAGTGGATAGTCCAAGACTTTTCATTGATTCATTCGATGATCATTTTATGAGAATTATTTGATCATATTTCCATTTCAGTAACATGGTAAACAAAGTTTCGCTCTGATGAATAGTTTCTCCAGATATTCTCAAGCTGCTTCGACTGGGTTTTATTTTTTCACAAAATCCACCAACTCGGAAATAGATATATCGCGAGATAATACAACTGTTGTCTCTCTATGAATTTTGAGAACTTATTGGTTAATTCCCAATTCCTTTCTTTTGCTCCAGTTGATGAAATCTTCTTCAGTAGGTGGAGCAATATCTCACACAAGTATTTCAGGATACGAGGTGGTTCCAGGTGATGTAGCTCCTTCACCTCCTTCTTTATCATAGGGTGACACAGTCCATGTGGCGGTCGAATCAGAATAACCTCATGGTATGTCTTGCTTTTCGCAAAAGGCGACTAGCATGACCAAAATAAGTACAAGATGGGTAACACAAGCGCCCGCTGCGATACCACCACATCAACCCTAGGTACCGTGAAATAGGATATACCCAGGTTCTAGTAGGTTGTTGATGATTGTGGCCACCTCAACCCAACCCAATCCCTTTCACCTCAAATGCCAACATTTTTCTTTGATACATAAGGAGCGATGATGGGTTCTCCCCAAGTGAAGTTATCCGGAAGTAAAATACTTCTCCATTCAGAATTCTGAGCGGAAGGTACTGGAGGAGGTTCACAATCGGCTGAAATAGAGCACAAGATAGACATTTAGGTTATATCTACGGTCTCGGTGAAACTATGTATATCGACACCATCAAGTTGAAAAGCCATACATATTGGCTCTGATTGAGACAAAGGTCAAGTCATTCACCAACACGACCTGTATGCTTTGTCCTGGATATGAACTTCCGACACGTTCCAGGTTCAATGGAGGTCTTCGCCTCTATGCTGAAACGAATCTCTCATGTCATAAAGAGAAACTTTCAAAACCAAATGAGTTGAATGTTATGTGGTTCGAAGTTGATAGCCTAAAACAGATCCACTTATCACCAGATGATTCATCCTATGAAGAACTCTCCAAGTTCTTATATCTGACGCATGACCAAATTCAACAGAAATATTCAGCAGCAGAAATCATCACATGAACGATTCCAATGTATAAAACACTGTTTGTCATGTACACTTGTATAAAACGTATTGACTCATTAGTTCACTCCATAGATGAATGACTTTCACTAGGAAACTCTGACCACACACTCATCTACATGAACCTGCCCATTTTTCAGTTCATCAACTGCTCCGGTGACCCCACTGCGGAAGTAAAATACCTATTTATTTGGATCCTCGAGCGAGAGGTACTCGAGGAGACTCATCTCTGAAAATCAATTTTCGCCACATCCGTGGACTCATCAAAAACATCATCTACAAACGGAAAAACCAGATATTCTGGCACTAACAGAAACTCAAGTGAACTCGTCCACCAACAAGGTCCACATGCTCTGTCCTGGTTACGAACTCCATTCTCGATTCAGTTTTAAAGGTAGAGTCTGGAACCGAAAGACTTTGATGGAATGTGGTTCAAGCTAGTCGATACCAAACTAACCAAATTCATCTGCCGCCTTTACCTATCGCCTATTGATAATGAATATAACAACCTCTTCGAGTTTTTTTTACTCAAACTGGACCTCATTCAGGTGAACCAACCAATAGCTGAAATCATAATCATGGGAGACTCCAATGTACACAACGCAGCCTGACTCAAATTCTTCAACAAAACAGATGATGCAGGTCGTCAAACTGAGGCCTTCGCCATCACTTATGGTCTAGAACAACTAGTCGAACAACCAACCCGCATTCCAGATTCAACAACCAGTCTGCCAATCTACTAGATCTTTTTATCATCAGCAATCCTGACCCATACAGAATTGCAGTTGGTGCCCCACTTGCAAACTCTGACAACACTCTTATCTCCACAACCTGCTCTTTCCATGTACCATCCAGCACCACAATTCCAACCCGTCCCATGTGGCATTACAATTCGGCCGACTGAGAAGGTCTTCATATGTTTGTTTCAGCGTTTGCATGAAAGAGAGTTTGTTTCTCCTCAGCAAATCCAACACGATGTGCTGAGACAATATTTCTGAAATCATCATGTTGAATATGCAAACCTACATACCGAACACTGCGAGGACACCATCTTTCGATAAGGTCTGGTTCAGTAGAAACTGTTCTAGAGCTGTCGATTCCACACAGGCAACATTCCATCGATGACAGAAAAATCCAGGCAGTGAGACAATCCGATCATCAAAGGAAGCTTAATATGCTGAAATAAGATCAAAACTTGTTGAATGTCCTAACGGATTCCGTTCATTTTGGTCCTTCGCCAAAGCTGTAGGAAGAAACTTCACTCCCAACTCGTTTCCTCCTCCTACCAAGGAGGATAAAACACTAGTTAGAACTGCCCAGGAAAAAGCCAACATTTTCGCGTATTCATCTGCTAAAAATTTCACTCTGGATTCATCGGGAAAACAACCTCCGAACATAACGCCTCAAGGAATGTGGTCTTGAACTAACACCTGTCCTCTGCAAGTTGTTTATTTCCTTTCACTTATGAGGGATATTCCTGTCCAACTGGGAAGTTGCAAGAGTACAACCAGTTCCTTATATAGGCAAAGAGACCCTACCTAGCAACTACAGATCGATCGCACTGCCATCTTTCATTCCAAAGATCATGAAGGAAGCAATCAACAACGAGCTCATGAAATACTTGGAACATTCAGGTATTATCAGCGATAGGAAATATGGCTACCGTCATCAGAGATCAACTGGTGACCTGCTCGCTCGAGTCTCACATCTATGTCAGCAATCTATTTGAAAATATGGTGGAACCTCAGCCGTGGCACTTGATATCTCCAAAGCATTCGATCCAGTCTGGCACCACGGACTCCCCTCCAAGCTCCCATTAGTGGTCGACTGAGTTTTATCTGACTCTCTTATCATGAATGCTGGTGTTCCGCAAGGATCAATTCTAGCACCAACACTATTTCTACTTCATAACAACGATTTGTTGAAAGCAACTCCATGTCCAGTACACAGCTTCGCGAATGATAGAACTCTCCATACCGCCTTCTCTCCCAGGGCTCCAATACCAGCCAGGCAAATCAGAAACGAACGAGGGAGAAATGTTGATAACAATTCTCGGGATTCAATAACTTGGTAGATTTCAATGCAAACAAAACAAGAGCATGCCTTTTTCCTAGAAAAGTTGATCTCACTGTACCCAACATTAGCATGTCAGGAGTGACCATACCTTTGAAGACATCCATTTCGATGCTTCGTATTACTATTAGCAAAAACCTTTCTTAGGTAAATCACGTGAGATCAATTGCTGAAGGTGCATCCTGAAAACTTGGATTTTTGTTTCGGGCCAGGAACTATTTCACTTTCAGTCAGCTGCTTATGATCTATGAGGCACAGATTAGACCAGTCCTGGAATACTGTTGCCATATTCGGAGTGCAGCACCCAAACATACCCTGAAACTTTTGGATTCTGTCCAAACAAGGGCAATTCGTCTCGTGGGTGATGCCTCGCTCACAAACTCACTCACTTTTCTGGAACACCGTAGGAAAGTTGACGATCTGGCTCTATTTTATAGATATTCTCATGGACGATGAAATATCAACAATTGTTCTCACCTTGGCAGTCCCCGCGAGATTAACTCGTCGAGTTGAGGCTTCGCACTCCTGCATGGTCACTTTGGAGACCTGCAGAACACTTTTTCCAAAGAGTCGTTTATCTAACGAACAGAATAACTGGATATCCCTTTTCGTGGAAACCAAAACATAAATAAAAGTAATTCAAGAGACTGGGATGGTCTCCGCAAAGTTCTCTTGGCACAGAATATGCTTCGAATCTGACGATTTTTCACATTCTGCTGCGGAAATATTCGAGATCATAACGCTTGCACTGGACACATACATACCTCGTTTTTTGAGAAGATCATCATCTTTGGTAACCTGATTCAACAAAAAATGTTCTAGAAATTTTGCCTTGAAACAAACAACCTACTATTACTGGCGCAGAAACCCTAATCTGACTGTAGCCAAACGATAAATGCATCAGAGGCAACATACAATTCCTGAATAAGATCAAAACTAATAGATTGTGCCATTGGCTCCTGTTCACTTTTGTCCTCTGCTAGAGCAGTCGAAAGAAATTCAACTGATATTCTGTTTCCTCCACTTTCCAGAGCAGACGGCCCATGAGCAACAGCTTTGCAAGAGGAAGCAAACGTTTTTGCACAGATATTCGCAGAAAACTCCACGTTAGATTCCTTAGGAAGAAATACGCCAGATGTTTCATTTTTTGAGTCGGATGTCCGTGATCATCTTCCGTCAACGCACTGTCAGACGCATTCTGCCGGGTCTCGGAACAAATCAGCCATACGGTCCTGATGAAACTCTACTCTTCATTCTCTAAAGAGTGAACTAGAATTGACACCGATGATCATCACGTTATTCACTATCTCAAGCAAGTCGGGTACTTTTCCATCTCGCTAGAAAAAAGCTAGAGTACAACCTATATCGGAAAAAGAGGACAAGATTCTGCAGGACAATTACAGGTCTGTTAACAGAATATCCTCGAAGTGGTGGAGAAGCCATCAACATCCAGCTGATGAAATATCTGTGAAGCCCAGGAATCTTTAATGCCAACATGGCTTACACCACCAAAGATCAATCGATGTTCCACTTCTTCACATTATCAGAAAGACATCCGGAATCTCTAGCTATGACGTTAGACATATCGAGAGCATTCGACCGTGTTTAGCACCAAGGACTTCCTCACAAACAACCATCATACGCGTACCATTTCAGGTATGGCATCTTCCATCGATTCCCATTCCAGACGATCGCTCCGTCTGATACTATCTGTATCTAGTTTGGCGCTCCGCAATGTTCAATTCTTGAACCAACATTGTTCCTACTTCATATCAATGATCTGTTGAAAGTAATCACTAACCCTATTCACAGCTCTGCATATGATAGTACTCTCTGAACTGTGTTTGCATCAAGGATCACAATTCCTCCCAAGGAAACTTAGAACTCACTGTGAAGGCATGTCAACGCCGTCAATGGAGAAATTATCAAAATTACAGCCTGGGAAACCAACAATCTAGTTAAATTCAACGCCACCAAAACCAAGGCCTTTTTTTTCTTCTGGAGTGGAACTCAGTATGCCTCATATAATAATGTCAAGAACCACAATTTCCACCAAGTTCACCATATCTATGCTCGGCATCTTCATCAGCAATAATTTTTCATTGGATAATCATGCCAGATCCATCGCGATGGCTTCTTCACAAAAACTTTGATTTTTTTTTCGTTCGAGAGGCTACTCCACATCTCAATACCTTCTCATGATCTACAAAGCAGAAGATATTGTTCTTACATGTGGAGCTCAGCACCCAAACATACGCTGATGCTCTTTGATTCTCTCCAGAGCAGAGCCATTCACCGAGTGGTTGATTCCACACTCACCAACCCATTGAAATCATTGGAACACCGTAGATAAGTCGGTGACCTTTTACTTTTTCATAGATACTCTCACGAAGAATATTTCACATGAATTCATGCTATTATTCCATCAGTCAGACGAACTTGAAAGGCATAGTCAGCACATCCTCAATTTTTCAGCTTCGAAACATGTCAAACATCATTTCCAAAACTCGTTAGTTTATCATAGGACGGCAAATCTCCAAGATTATCTGCCTTATGAACTATTCCCAAGAACTTATGAACTCCAATAGTTGAAAGAAGATTCAATAGCAACCTCCTCCCCCTTTTCTCCCTAGGAACAGTACGATGTTCTTCGAACATCATTTGGATTTCTGTACGTGCACTCGATAAGTGATGGAAAAATTCGTGAATTCATGGATAGGAATACCCCAATAAACTTAGCAGAACCACTTCAATATTTCGGATTTGCAATAGTACTATAATTTGTTACTGATTCAGTACTAATTTATTATTATATTTGCGAATTTATTACTCTTCATTGAACAGAAAAAACCAACGGCTCTCTTAGCTTTATGCAACCTAGCAGAACCATAGCTGAAAATTCGATATTTTGAAAATTTTAAATATACCATTATTTATAACTATTTAATTACTAACTTATTACTATAATCACGAATTTTTTACTCATCATTTCAAGGAAAAAAACGACGATTTGTCTATCTCGATCTCAACCTAGCAGAACCAAAACTCAAATCACATGTTTTTTGAAATTATGTTGTATCATCGATAAGTTACTAATTTATTACCACATTCGCAAATTTCTAACAAGTCATCCAACAGGGAAAACCAACGGCTCTGCTAGCTTGCTGTCAACCTAGCAGAGCCATAGCTGAACAATTATTATTTTGAAAACTTCAAATATACTATAATCACGAATTTTTCACTCATCATTTCAAGGAAAAAAACGACGATTTGTCTATCTCGATCTCACCTAGCAGAACCGAAACTCAAATCACATGTTTTTTGAAATTCTGTTGGATCATCAACAAGTTAGTAATTAATTACTAATTCATTACCCACACATACGCAAATTCTCAACACTTCATTTGACAGGAAAAATCAACGGCTCTGCTAACTTCATGTCGACCTCTAACCCAACCATAGCTGAAAATTGACTATTTCGAAAACTTCAAGCATATACCATAATTCATAACTATTTTATCACTAGCTTATAACTATAATCACGAATTTTTTACTCATCATTACAAGGAAAAAAACGTCGATTTTTTTATCTCGATCTCAACCTAGCAGAACCCAAACTCATATCACAAGTTTTTTTAAATTCCATCGAGACCTCCATTAGTTACCAATTTATCAAAAACTATCTGTCCGGCCAAGTTTCGCACGGTTGGTTTACACATTTAAAAAAAAAAGAGATATTTGTCGCAGTTGTTCTGAGCTATGCTCATATATAGGTATTATTATATACTGAAACTTATTTTCATTCTCTCGGTATTTTTTGTATTCTTTTTGTTGTTTTACCTTTTGAAAATTCCAACCGAATCGGTCAAGCCGTTCAGTACCTAGTTGACGTACCGACAGCAGCGCCACCTACCGCGTCCAATTATATTTATAAATCATCCAGGAAACCATCAAAATACCCATAATTTCAACACAATCGGTTCAGCAGTTCAGAAGGTATGTAAAACAGATAAATAAATTACCCGTATTCTCGTAGGAATGAAGCATTTTCCCACAGTAAAAAGTAGCCTATGTTCATCAGGGATAATGTCGCTTTCGAACGGTGGAACAATATTTCAATTCAATTTAGCAGTTTCAGAGTCTATTCAATACAAACAAATAATAGTATATTATTTAACGAGCACGGAATGATCGTCATTTCTCACGAGAATGAAGTTTACAGCATGAGCCATAGGCGAATGCTGCAACCATTCGAGTGGGGAATTAGCATTCCGTGCGAGTTGAACACTAAAGCTGTAACAGATAAAAGCGAAATTTTGTATTTCTTCGACTTGTAGCCATCTGATTTTTCCTTAAGTAATGCTCATCTTTCAGACAGAGCTGTCAAAACTGTCACTGCATGTAATTCGACATTTCATAGGAGATGAGATGTTTTTGAAATAATAACACAATGGAGTCATTGTGATATCAGATACGAAAATGAAATGTTGACAGCAAGCTAGCAGAACCGTTGGTTTTCCGCGTTGAAAGAAGTGTTAGAAATTTGCGAATGTGGTAATAAATTGGTAATGAATCAGTAACTTAAACATAAACCTAGCAGAGCCGTTGGTTTTTTTTGTTTAATGAAGAGTAATAAATTTGCGAATATGATAATAAATTAGTACTGAATTAGTAACAAATTATAGTACTATTGCAAATCCGAAATATTGAAGTGGTTCTGCTAAGTTAATTGGGGTGATAGGAATTCCATCCTCATCATCACAAGCCTGCATTCATTTTGTTCAAACCAGCCTCCTACCAGCCAGCAATGTCATATCAGGAATTTTGTTCGCAATCGCAGTTCATCTCCCAGTAGTGTTTCACCTGTTCTGTATCTTTAAATATAGTTCTATGAGTCTGAATTCTGTTGAGCTCCTTTTTTTCTCACCTCTCCCGTTACAGAAAACCACAATGACATAACAAACTCAAATTTCCTTCACTCAAATACAAGGAATGAGGTAATCGATATCATCTCTGGTCTGAATAATAATACTCCACCTGGCCCTGATAAAATCCCCGTCTTTTTGATACAAAATTTCATATGTATTCCATAGACGCCCTATGCCATATTTTGAACCTTATGTTCACGGTTGAAAGAATACCAGAGTCTTTCAAAGTCTCTATCACAACACCGATTTCCAGATCAGGTGATGAAAAACGTATGACCAATTATAGACCGATAACCTTGATTGATAAATTTACAAAAAAATTTGAAAGATTTCTCAAGAGTAGAGTAGTTAATTTCTTCACAAATGACAATATTTTTTCAGAATCACGATATGGTTTTCTAGAAAAGAAAATCGAGTGAGAATGCTGTCTTTGAATTAGTCAATCACAACGATAATTGTTTTCAGAATCAGGTAAAATGCTCAACTGTGTTTCTGGACTTGGCCAAGGCACTCGATACTGTTGATCACAATATAATTCTACAGCGTTTGTCTGACACAGGCGCAAGAGGTATTGCCTCAGACATATTCAAGGATTACTAGACAAATAGGATACGAACTGTCAAGGTGAATAACACTTTTAGTGACTCACTTACTATAACTGGAGGCGTACCCCAAGGAACTGTATTGGGGCCCATTTTATTCCTCCTGTACATAAACAACATCTTCAAGATCTCAGGTTTCAACGGTAAAATAACTCATTTTTTTGACGATATAGCTATCACCCTTGTTGGAGAAACGTGGGAAGAAGTGTATACTCAGGATGAAATAGGCATGAAAATGATCTTCAACTAGCTGAGCAGTAACTCATTGAGCATTAATGTAGGAAAACCAAATTCATCACATTTACTTCTACAATTAGAGACCAACCAAATAGGAAAACTTCAAAAATTCATAAAAGATTGTGTGCTGGAGAACATGATCATTGCAGCTGTGCTTCCATGAATAAAACTTGCAAAATTAGGTACCTAGGGGTAGACTAATCTAGTAGACTACGTAAATCAATCTATGAATTCTATCAGCTTAGAAATAAACTCAAACAGAGAATGATGTTAACAGTGTATGATGCCTTGGTGGAGTCCAAAATTCGTTACTGTATGAGGCGGAATTTTCAAGACATCGCTAGATAATCTGGAAGGGATTCGGAATTCACTAGTGAGAATCATGATGAAGAAGGATCGGCGGTACAGCACTCAGTCTTCGTGTGAGGAAACTGGAATATTTGGTGTAATGAAACTCTACACTCTCCATTGCTCATTATGGGCTGCCAATTCTTCGATATCTTTTTGTTAAATTGATTCTGGACAGATGATTATCTACTATTCTGAAAATATTCACAAATATGGTATCACTCTCCCCTCTCTATCTCTCTTTCTCTGCTTTCATTCTTATCTACAGAGTTTTCTGGAAGTATTTACGAAGAAGTTGATATCAACCACTTCCTCTCTCATCTGACTATAGGTACATTTCATTGAATTGTATGAAGATATGGATTTTCCCATATTATGATTCTGAGCATTTTCTCATTGAATTCAAACATGTCTGACTTGTACCATTCTCTCTTGTGGTGATCAAGAATATGTTGATCCCATTCATTCTATACCGATACTAGAACAAGAACGAGAACTAGAACACTTCATTTGGAAAAAAGTGATGTTTTCTTCAGATATTGAGTAGGTATGTCACAAGACCGTCTCACATTCAGCTCGCATTTTTTCATCTAGTAATTTCGAAAAAATTCTTTTTCATCATGATGTATTTCATCACGTAAATAATTTCCTGAATTATTGTTCTTCTTGAAATATGGTCACCTATCCATGACTCCAGTTCCGTTACTATGAAGTCAATCACCCCACCCCGTATGTATGTTTTAACTGAGTAATGAGGTTTCATAGAATTAATGAATCAAATGTGAGTATTCTTTGAGTTCTCATGGAAAAATATTGAGTAATTTATCTGAGTAATTTCGGAGACATTCAAGTTCGAACATAATTTGTTGGGGAGCTAAAACACGGTTTCTATCTACAGAGCTGTATAATTTTTCATAATATCTTCATTTGGTATAACTTTAGAACATTACCTTTCCACAGTATTGCCCTTGATGAAAATTATTTCGAATATTCAAGATAACTGACTTACTAATTATACTGATTCGTCGAAGATGATAATTATATAAGCGCCCCTCACCCTCATTTTACTCTTTCATGACGCCACTGTGTAGGAATATTGGAACTGTCAATCACAGATATCTAGGAAGTGAATGTAATATGTCTTGGAGAGCAACAATTTCTGATATCGTATGTGCTCACTGACAGATCGTAAAATAACTGATATATTTTCAGTTCAAGGCCGGGTCCCAGTACACTACCTCAACACTTTCAACAGAGATGTCAGTGGTCAGTACAGACACGACAATTCAGGGGCCTATAATAACGATGACGGTCAGTATCACCCAGATGGCAGCGGTGCATATAATCCGGATAATTTGGGAGGATACCAAAATATCATCAATAACGCATATTCGGACAAAGTCAATGCAGGTAGGACATTTTGTTTAGTTAGGGTTGGCAGTCATTCCATATTCCTCAAATACGGGTTATACTGTTGATTATATAATTTCATTATAATAAACTGATAATCATGCCAGATAGCATCCCCTACAAAACCACTCGAATGAGTGGACAATGCTATATAGGTTATCTGAGAAGGTGCATTGATTCAGCGTCATCTTTGTTGGAACTGAAACTCTGACCTCCTCATTCAGAGTGCGTTGAGAGTATTTCAAGCAGGATGCTTATTGAGTGCTTATAAGGAATGTCGCAATATAACTATGATAGTTCAAGAGCCGACTGCAAATTTTGACCGTCATCTGATAACGAGATGAAATATGTCCCAAAGGCTCGTAAAATCATTGTAGTTTATAGAACGGCACCTGTGCCAATCACTATCTTGAGCAAAATGATTGGGAAATTGCACCACACTGTGCGGCAATTTGCACTCGATTTCGCGATTCGAGAACGATATAAGAACTATGCCATCCGATACCAATTGAATGGATTGCAAAAACCTATAGCTGTGCCACCTCTCAGTCTGAGCCAAATCTACGGCACAGCGATTCATTCGCTGCTATTATTTCTGACATACTACCGTCATGTGATAACGAGTTGAAACAAGAAGCAGATGAAAGGAGATGATTTCGTGTTCGCAAATATCCTAACGTGCTGCGATTTGAACTGATCTACGTTAGTGGCAGAGCGTCAATACTCCCGAGAATATTTCTCTCTCCTCATGAGATGATATTGGATGGATTAGTGTGAAATTCAACATGTGGATCAAAATACTCTTAGTGTGAGCACCACATGAGTTTCACACTGATTTGTCGGATATCATCTTTCGACGAGGGTGAAATATTCACAAAAATATTGATGCTCTGCCACTAACTCAGATCAGTTTGAATAGCGGCTTGTTTGGATATTCACTGAAAGGACGTGTTCTTCTTTCATTTTCTTCTGGTCTCAGCTCGTAATCACATGACAGAAGTATGCCTGGAGTGATATAAGCGAACAAATTGCTATGCCGTGAATTTGGCTCAGACTGGGAGGTGGCACATATAGGTTTTTGGGATCTACATCTTGACAAGTATTTAGATGCCTAATTCTCATCCCGTTATCAAATCGTAAAATCTAGTGCAAATTTCGCACAGGAAATTGCAATTTTTCAATCATTTCACTCAAGATAGTGATAGGAACAGGTGCCATTCGATGAACTGAAATGTTCTCACCTTTCTTTTGAACATATAACCATATCGATATCAGATGACAGTAGGAATCTACAGCCGGCTCTTCTACTATTACGAGATTGTGACACTGTTTTCCATTGAATTTCGGAAACTTCCACTTGAATGCATTCAAAATGTTCTTCTGTTCGTGAATCGATTAAACTGACTGATAAGAGATAAAATTTGTCCAGCCGACTGTCTATACAGAATATGAAAAAATATTTCAACACACATCCGATACTATGCCACTCTTCTCCAAAACTTGTGATAGTCGATCAAATTTCTATTCTTGTTTCACATGCATTTCAAAGAAATAAATCTCCACATAAAATTCCTTTGAACTCTCGGCGTACTTACATCGATGACCATTTTAACCTAACGAAATATACAGTATGATGCAAATGTATGAAAAGAATTCATTATTTCAGAAATGGGCGACATTTGAAAAAAATCCAAAAACACGAGTCCTAATTTTTGAAGCCTCATATCATGATATCCATATGAGAGATGTTACGTCACCGGTGTTGAAGTACTGACGTGATGAACGATTTTTTCAATCACAAACAGGGGTCATGTGACACCTTGTTTGAAAGGTCTACTGATCGTCTATCCAAGAGTCAAAATTTTGCATAAGAAGATTGAAATAAAAATGGATTATCATTTGATTAACTGAATCTTGCAGAAGTCTGCTACTGAGAATTGAACATCGAAGGGTCGTGTAGGTAAAAAAATACATCAATTAAAAGAGTTCTCAACTCTAGTTTTTGTATTTTTTTCGAAAGTCGTCTCGTTTTGAAATGAATTTATTCCATACATTTGCATCTTACTGTATATTTGAGAGGATGCATTGCTCCAGCTCTATCATCCATGTACAAACTTGGATTTGACTTGCCCATTCAATGAGTTCAATATTCATGAAGAATGCAGAATAAGTCTTAATGAAGAATATCAAAAAAATAGTATCGAGAGATTCTAGCACTATTTTCAGTTGATATCTTGGAAACTCCCACTTGAATGCATGTAAAATGCTTTCAGGAATGAGAATAGATGGAGCTAAGTGATGTCGAAATATAATGTGTCTATTGGACTGTATATTCGGAAAATGAGGAGATATTGCGACATAAAAGCGTAACTATGACATAGTTCTACAAGACTTGGAGCTGAAAACTGAACCAAAATTCGACTCTCGTCCTATATGGATTCCAAAGGAATACATTAACACTTTGATTTTTTCCGAACTGCCGGCGTATGTTCATAGGAATTTTTCTATCAAAACAATGTAGAAAATCTGGAAACAAAGTCGATTCTATCCTCACCAACCAGTCAGACTCAAAACGTCCAAATACACCAATCTATTTAGGTATCTATAAATTCGTATTTAGAAATTTCCACACCAATCACAGAGAATGGAATCAACAGTAGATGACGATTGAGGAGCTGATGTGAGTTGTGGAAACACTTGATTCAATATAAAATCAATATGCAATTATCGGATTGAAAATATCATGATTCCATTATCAGATAGATCTGATGATTTTCAAAATACGTGATCATTTTTAAAATTTCACCCAATCCTGTTCTCAGCTTCATTCTTGCATCGGAATGAGGAGAAAGAAATGTTATTTTCACTTTATATGAACAGTTTCGATACGTACCAATAGAAAAGGAAAGTATCACTATAGCGTCGCCATTCGAGTGGTTGATGAAATTTTAATAAAAGTATGATATTATTGTTCTCATGTGATTCGATATGAACGATTGAAATTTGCATAGGACGACCCATCGTTACTGCGAGACCTGTTCATTCTGTCCCAATTCATTCCGGATCTAGTAATGGTGTCGTTAGAGACCATATTCCAGCTTCTAATAATGGACATTACGCAATCATCCGCCAAGTCCAGGAGAATCAACAAGATGGATATCACTATGTGTAAGTCGAGGGATGTGATGAATATCCTATATTGGAGCTATTACAGTTATTCTTGTTTATTAACTGATTTTTCAATTCCTCAGATATGAAACTGAAAACCAAATTTACGGGGAAGAAGAAGGCCATTTGGAGAATGTAGGATCAGATCAAGAAGGAATAACTGTCAGAGGTAGATATTCCTATACTGGACCAGATAATGTTGTCTATTCTGTGGAATACACCGCTGATGCAGCACATGGTTTCGTTGCTTCAGGAGCCCATTTGCCGCAAGCAAATAATGGACAATCATCCTAGGAAAGAGAACATTGACAAAAACTAGTATATGCCATTTCTGTAAACTCCCTTTCTTCAAGTAATTGAAACTATTAAGTTGATGTTAATAGCCAGGGGATAGAAACACGTTGTAAATAAATGTATACTTAGTGAATAACTTTCATATTTTCATGCACCTAGTACAACCCACATCTTCAAGTTGGGAGATACTAGTTGGTTTTAGAGAGATAGGTACCTACACTTCCGATCTGAATTGTATCTTCGATCAAAACTCTGATTTTGAATGAAGAATTGGTATCATTTTTGTTCCAGAGTGACTTTGAAGGATCTTGAGCATTCGATAATTTTTCATTTATCATCAGTTATTATGGCAATTTCTACTTTACGGATGAATATACCAGTTGACGTATGCATTTTTCATATTATTGCTCAGGACTTGAGGGCTCTGCCGAAGAGCCTGAAGAAGGTTGAGCTTGCTTCAGTCTATCGCAATTCACGATGCCAGTCCTCTTCTGAACCATTTTGATTTCAGCAGTGTTTGTATTTGTTATACGAATGATTTTGTGGAGACCAATTATTTACTCATTTCTCATTTGGTTGCCTATTCCAGATTTTCCCAAATGAACATAATCTCCTTTTTGGTATTGCGGTTAATTTGGTTTTGAATGTCGATGAAATCTGTCTCGATATTTCTGTTGCGACTGTTCAACATCAAATGCAAATTTTTCGAAAATAAAAGCAGCCTTACTTTCCACTTCATCAACCTCAATCGTTAATAAAGTTTATCATCAAAGCATCTCGATTTGAATAGCTCAATGATACCATCGAAGCGGTATGCGAAGAGGAAGGAATTTCAATATCTTGAATAGTCAACCAAAAAAGTCGAAGTCATCCTTCTATGAAATGATTCAAATGTGAGAAATCGAATCACACAACCGCCAGTCGCTTTTATAACTACATTCCATCTTCTTCAAATCAGCCTTCAAATTTTGAGCATAAATTCAAATCTCCGAGTAATCCTCACTTCGAACTGAAAATATTCATCAGGTGTTACTTGGATGTCGTTATTCCCACGATATAAGGCATACAATCGAACAATGTCGAAACGTCAATATGACTATTCCCCATTCAAATTCAATAATAGTCAACGTGCAAGAAATTTCTCAAGCGACTGCGCCTCCCGTAACCATGAAAATAGGAGCATTCGCCATATACGTCTGTCAATACACATTTTTTCATTGTCATTCGCGAAAATCACGAACCAAAAGATGGCGCCTGTCCAACGTCAAATTTCAAGATAGAGGTGAACAACAAACTGTTGTCACTTAGTTGTCACATAATATTTCAGAAAAATGCTTAAAGGTGAAGTGTCCATCGCGGATATATTAGAATATATTGGCGATAGGGTGAGACCCTTGAAAGAAGGAGAAGCAGTTGAGAACCTATGTATCATCACTCGCATTCTTCGCTCACACTTTGTATTTTCATGTGATGACTTTGGAAGGTTCACGGAAGGTATGGCTATCTTTTTGATCCGCTGTCGTGGTTCACCAGTTGATGAGCCTTAAATGAAATTTGCAAGCATAGATGTGATTTAAAGGAGTTCAATTCCTTAAACTTTACTTCCAGTTAAAGATTTATTGAAGGATGTAAAATCTCCAGGTAAGAAGTGCTCACTACAAACGTACATATTATTGGTTATTGGTTTACCAATCTTCAACAAATTCCTCCAAAGTGGAAATTTGTGTAAATAAACACTGTCTGTACAATATGAAGAGCACTGCGGAACTGAACAACACTTTCTCGATTTCGTATTTTTGGTTTTATGTATTTGCTGCATGTTGAAAGGTTGAAAATATCTACCTATCTCATATACCTATACAAAATAATCACGAAAATCATTGAAAATCGTCTACTTTTAACTATAAAAGTATTGAATCATAATGCTGACAATAGTGACAAGTGGTGACAATGCTAAAATGGATTGTTGTTCAATCTTAGATCAACGCTTAGATCCTACAGATGATCTAAGTGTTCACCTCTATTTTATTTCCAAAATCAAACACCAGAGGCCACCCACTTCGTGATTTTCGCGAATTGTACCATATTGATAGACGAAATAAATACTGTTGATTCGAACGACGACATTTATTTCACAACGTGAAAGGTTTAAGAATACAGTCCATTGAAGTTGTTGATCATTGGTCCTTTGAGACGGATGCAAACAGCGATTTGAAGTGAAGATTGCAGCTTGCTGTTTCCAGCGGAGACGAAGCCTGTTTGCCAGGATAAGCGGCTATTTTTCGAGAAACAGAAACAAGGCGTGGCATTGATTTTGGAAGTTGAAATCAATACAGGGTGAGTGCCGAATCTATCCTGTTATTCTCATCAATCATTTCCTCATTTCTCGTGTGGCTTCAAATATAATCGTAATTTCTCGTAGTATTGGTACACATTTCGCGGATTATATTATTCAGCTTGACTCGATTTGTCGTGGGTACCGGGTAATTTAGCATCCAACTAGTTATCTCGTCTAATGGTGGTACCATCCTCTCCGCAATCTTCACACTCCATAATCTCTATCAACGATAATTCGATACAAAATAATATCAAATTACCTACCATCCAGTTGAAGAAGTTTCGAGGTGATTACGATACTTGGTTGGAATTTCACGATATGTTCAGCTCTCTCATACATAATAATTCCACGATTAATTGAGTTCAGAAATTCCATTACCTTCGTGCATCTTCAGAATGTGCGACGGAAATTATTCACTCGTTGGAATTATGTGAAGCAAACTACGAAACAGCATGGTCACTCATTTGCACCCGTTTCAACAATGATAGAATTCTTGTTAACAACCACGTTAGTAGCTTGTTCAATTTGGACAACATAAAAGAAAAATCATCTGATTCCATTCGAAAATTGTTAGATAATGTGACAAAACATTTGCGCGCGTTAAACACATTGAAAGAACCGACTACCAATTGCGGGATACACTCATTATTTACCTAATCGTCACAAAATTAGATCCAATCACGTCTAGAGAATATGAGGAGTCACGAAGTAAAATTCCTACAGTAAATCCAACTTTGGAAGTTCTGAAAACATATTTGAAAGACCGCGCAGATCTGCTTGAAACGATTGAACGTAGCAAAGTTGACAAAAAATTGCGAAAAATGAAATTAAATAAGCCTGATTTCAAAACCCGATCTTTCGTTGCTGCAGCTACAACTGCGGTTAGCTGCGTCTTTTGTAAAAAGGATCATTACGTATCAAATTGCGAGGAGTTTCTCAAAATTCCAGTTAATGAGCGTTATGAACATGCCAAGAAAAATAGGCTCTGTCTGAATTGCTTAAGGCCTGGTCACAATGTTGAGAAATGCCGCTCTAGTTCATGTAGAACTTGTAAGGGACGTCACAGCACTCTATTACATTTTCAGCGTAAATCTGAATCGTCTCCTAACACCGAGCCTAGTACAAATACTGCCTTGCTCTTACATAGTATGTCAACTGAACCCTCTCAAAGTATAGTCACACACATGTCTGCTCTCAATTCACAGGTGATATTAGGTACAGCTGTGATAAAGATATTTGATGAATTCAACGAAACGCATTTTGCTAGGGCTTTGTTGGATTCAGGAAGTCAATCTTCATTCATTCGAAAGGAAATTTGTGATAAGTTGAGAATAAAAACACAAAAAATCGATTTGCTCAAGGTATCTGGTTTAAATGGTGGTTTGCTCACTAATATAGAGAGAAAGCTTGACGCAGCTATTCAATCAAACACGAACGCGTATACAGTGAATTTGTCGTGCTTGATTGTTCACCAAATCACTAGCCCCTTACCAAATATAAAATTTGACGCCACTGCACTGAATATTCCAAACAACATCGTATTAGCTGATCCTGAATTCAACATACCGAATAATATTGATATTTTATTAGGAGCTGATTATTTCTGGGATCTGATGTGCGTTGGGCAAATGAAATTGGGGACAAAGGGTCCCATTTTGCGAAAAACTAAACTAGGGTGGCTAGTCGTTGGGCCCATTCCAGTTGATCATTCAAATCCCACTATTCATTGTTTCAAGTTTCGAGTTTCAAGTTTATTCTCTCTCTTTTTTTTGAATACAGTTGATATACAATCAGTTTATTACTACCCTTCATGTGAGGATGGATGCACCTAAGTATCTATAATACCTGTGTTGCGCTTTCCATCCACCATTCAGGGTGTTCAAAAATTACATGATAATCATCTCAACTATGGCAGTTCAAAAGTTTATATATAGTATTGCCCTAAAAATACCTTCCATTCCCTTCATACATATTATATAATACAAGCATATATACATTCACCTATACAGTGTGTCCCAAATTCGATCCTCACCATTGGGATCTCAGTAACTATGAGAGATAGAGAAACGGTTAAATTAGCAAAGTTGTAGCGAATTTAATGTTGAATCATAATCTATCGAGAAATCCGGGCTAGCTTCAGTCATTCTTGAGTAATTTGAGAAAAACTGAAATCTTGTATTTTTGTTTTTCTCGAATATCTCGGAACCTATTGATTTTATGAAAAAATGACTTCAACATTCTCATAGCACTTTTTAGTGCTCTTTTCAATGGTTTTGTCAGTTTTCCATCGAAATGTCAAATTTCTGAGATATCACCTACAACTTCAATTTTTCTCATGGACGCCATATTGGATTTTGACAGATTTGAAATCAGCATCAAATTTCCTTTCTAGTGATGTATCACACTCACAGTTTTGTTCTATTTGGGGTACTGATTTCCAATTTTTGTTTTTATGTCAAGTAGGCTATGAATTCTGTGTTCTATGTTCTTGCATAACTTATCGCATGGAATTGGATGTGTACTATTATAGCAGAAAAAAAAAATTTAATAACAGTTGAATAATACAAATACTGAAAAAAAAATCAATTGAACTGCTCGAAATGGCCCCCATTGTTCTCGATACATTTTAATATTCGCGAGCGAACATGATTCGCTGCTTTTCTCAGATGAACTCTGTTGATGTTCTGGAAGGTGTCCATCACCCTATCTCGTAGATCATCAATATCTTGCATTGGATCTTCATAAATTTTATTTTTGGCGTAGCCCCACAGGTAAAAATCGAGAGGCGTA